GTAACATGGCCGGAAAATGATGTCACAAGGTAGGATTGGTGACTGTGACTGTTATCTGTAGACAATCGCGACAAAAAAAAGAGCTAAAATGGCTGATTACACACGTAGGTGATACAAAGAAAAATTGTGAAATTCAACCATCAAACCTTTTAGAAAAGGCTTTGTTCACTTTCATAGCTTTGTTCACTTTCTTCAGTTTCTTCAAAGACATTAAGATGAGTAGCTGAAACAAGACACACGCTTATACACGACTTAATGCATACCTTGCATTTCTAAAGCAGTTGTCCTCTGAGATGCGTTCTTGATATGGACATTTACTAAATCCAGTTTTCTTCCAATATTTACGTCCAGTGAGTCAAGACGTTTGGGCAATGTTTCAAAAGCTTTGTACATTGAGTCCATCTTTTCTGTAGACAATCACGACAAATAGAAAAGGATTTTTAAGACAAAGGCATTTAAGTGCCAGGGATAAAGGACAAACCGGGTTTCCCGGTGAGGATTCCAGCCCCTCCTATTGCGGCCCACATACTCCAGCAGCTGTAATGCAAACATTAAAGTTCTGTAAGGTTTTGTTAAATCGCCCAGTTTTCCCAAAGACGAGTTAACACATTTGACCTAAAATTGATTTCTTAAGGAAGGCTGGTTTACCAACTTAGAGCAGGCACATCTACATAGATGACAACAACGACCTCCACACCAGCTATGACCTTTTCACCAATCAAAACCGCATTAAAGAAACACCACCACAAGTTCTAAATATACATACCTTGAATTTCCAAGACCGTTGTCCTTTGAGATGTGTTCGTAACATTCAAATTTACGAGATCCTCTCCAATTTGTTTGTCTTTCCAGTCAAGGCGTTTGGAAAAAGCTTCGATGGCTTCGTTTATTGATTCCAGTTTTTCTATGGACAGCCATGATAAGTAAAGATGTTAAAAAAACTGACTGTTTATGAAGGACAAAGAAGAGAACATGCAGGTCATCGTTAAGACGTTTCAAACGCAAGAAGCTTAAGAGAGGATGTCAGCATCCATCGCACAAATTTGAAATATTGTGGCGAGTCGCCCAAAATTGGATATCACTCCTACTTTCATATTTTGTAGCCCAATATGGCGGAGGTAAACCTGAAATTTGCTCCAAAACTCAGATTTTTGTTTTTCTTAGAATTTGTAGCCTTAGGTATTTAATTTTACTATGGAAAAATAATCTCCTATTTATTTACATTATTTTTACCTTTTTAAGCGATCTAAAAATTCCCGCACTGGCTAATTACGTGTTTACCATGGCAACGAGAAAAGCATTTTTGTGATTTATGGGTAGTTTGGGCTGTTTTCTGGCAATCATGTTACAAACGGGCGGAATTAAATGAGACACTTTACGTAGTCTTATTTGAACATTTTTTCTAAGGATAAAATCATTATGGGATATATGAACGTCAGTTTCAGTCGAATGCAACACTCAGTTCACACAGAGCAATAAATCAGAGGTAAAGTTATCGAAAATGGTCGGAGAGAAAAGAAGATCTGTCTACGGGACAGATGGACCCATGTTTTTCAACATGTTCCTCAATGACCTCATCTTTCACATTAAGTCTGTAAAACTAAACACTTATGCTGATGACTGCCAACTGCACACATCTGACGTAGACCCAGTAGCCTTGGAACAGCGGATCAATCATGATGTACAAATAGCAAACAAATGGTTCGAAGACAATGGGATGAAAGCCAACCCCGCTAAACACCAAGGGATGGTTCTTGGCAAAACCGATTACCCTTTCTCCTTCTCAACCACAAGATGCCTGGAACTTTTTGGAATAACTCTTGATAATGAACTTAATTTCAAGGAACACATATCCTCTGTATGTAAAAAAATAAATAATCAGTTCAGTGTCTTCAAAAGATTTGGCGAACTTATTTCTACCGAAATTATGCTTCACCTTTATAAAACGTTTATGTTACCCCATTTTCACTACTGTTCAATGATATGGCACTTTTGTAATTCAGAGGACTCTGTTAAACTGGACACCTTAAATAGACGTATTTTAAGATTTGTTTTAAAGGACTGGGACTCGAACTATGATGATCTTTTAGACAAGGCAGGTGTGTGTGGTTTAGCCAACAGGAGGATACAAAATATGATGATTTGTATATTCAACTGTCTCCATCTCGGTAAATATCCGTGCTATTTGAAACAACTGATCAAGCTAAGATCTACTGCTTACTCCCTAAGGGGCACCAATATTTTATCACTTCCTAAGCCGTTTACAACTACATATGGTCTAAATTCTTTTAGCTATTCATCTGTTAAGTACTGGAACTCCCTCCCTGACCACTTTAGAAAGACTGTAGATTATAGTGAATTTAAGCGCAAACTGTTAGTGCACGGTTTCTGTTAATACTACATTAATATTACAATATATTATTATATTAATGATTATTATATTATTATATTATGAATTTTTTTTTCTCTTTTTAGCCTTGTTCTTGCTGTAACTTTTAAAATTAATAATTAGGATCGGAGATACTAGCTTGTAAGCTACACTGAAATCCGAGGATAAATAAAGCTTATGTATGTATGTATGTACGGGAAGAAAAGAAAGATAATTTTTTTCTGGATGGCGAAAACAGGAAGAAGAGCCTGAAGAAACCGCTCCTGTTGTTGACGAAGTCGCCTCCTCAACTCCTACCACCTCACGGGATAAAAATCAGCTCTCTGACTTGGACTCTAAAGAAACTGAAATATGCCGACGAGGAGCTTCTTCCAGACAGCTTTGATGATGAGTACACCTTCAATACCGAGGAAAGCGAGGGATATAGATTGATAGATGTGAAGAATTTATCCACGACGGTCTCAAAGGCGCATATGTGTGAGAAAGGTGAGAATTTTTTACTGTGATACCTGTGGTAGCCCAGTCATAAATGCCTTTGTTTTTTTCTGGGATACCTGTGGTAGCCCTGTCATAAAATGCCTTTCTTTTTTTGTCGTTTTTTTTTTCCACCGCCACAAAATGGAAAAATTGCGACATAGTACCCTGTGGTCATTGGGCCCTCAACACCATGATAACTAACTGTGATCCAATGAGGTGTTCACATGCTGATCACGCGTGTTATCTTGATGATGATTGACGTTGTCATACAGGTACAGGGCTCGGTCACATGACGAACCACGAGATTTTGCCTATAAAACTCTTTTGTCAATCGTTTTGTATTTCATCGTGTTTGGATTGCGATCACCTGGAGCATTATGGCGCAAACGCTCAAAATACTTACAGACGCATGCACAAGGCGTATTGTTCGCGGCAATTCCACACTAAAAAATGTTATTGAGCGGTAATTTTGGAACGGATTGAGTCGCGAACGCTTGAAAGCCATGAAAGCCTTGAATACCTTGTATGCCTTGTATGCCAAGTATGGCAATGTCTTAGTAGAAAAACGTACAATTGTTGTAAAAAGCAAAATCTGAAATCTGAAACCAAACTGCATATACTCTATGCAATCTATTGAACAACACTACTACCGTGAGACTGAAGAACATAACTATAATGGATGCAAACTGCTTGTGAAGAAAGACGCCATGTTGGATTCACTTGATGGTAAGGAACGCAGCTATGATAACAGTACGAATGGTATTAATTTCACGATCAGAAGGTGAATCTTATTACTGGGATACCTGTGGTAGCCCAGTCATAAAATGCCTTTGTTTTTTT